TCATCACACAGGATATTGCTACTGCTGGTCCGAGGACCATGGACTGAGAGCCACTGTCGTAAAACATGGCTACTTCCTCCGGCCTCCCAACTCTCCCCCAGACTCACTTGTTAAAAAATAGTTCGTTGAGTACAGCCGGAGTCACTCTCTTGGGTGACCAGCTGTGTCAGCTCTTCTAGAGCGGGGAACTGGACGCGGCTTTGTCACTGGCGTTTCCTGATGGATCTTTTAATTCAGCTCCCTGGAACTCACAAGAATTATTTGGGTTTGTGAAGACCTAAGTTTTTAAACAGCAGCGTATTTATATCAGAATGACGGTGACAGGTATTTTCGCATAATGAAAAGTATCTTTAAGACTACGAAAGGTGGCGTGAGAGAGAAATTTGAGAACTTGTATTTGTCCTCACACCTTTAGAACTTGCAGTTATACATTTTTAATAACTTGCATTTGCATTTTACTGAACTTTGTTTGGTAAGGGTGTCCTTTTAAACAACAAAACCTCTCAGCTGTCAAACTGTACCAGAGATCTTGGAGAAGGATAAAATTTTACTTGAGTTATTGATTTAAAAACAACAGAGAATTTACTTGGTTGGCACCTAGAGGTGCTCCTCATGGTCCTCCATGGTTGCTGAGGGTCATATTTGCCTTTGTTGTCCAGCGCAGGACCTGCCAGGCTCCAGAAGACCCTGTATGTTTTAAAAGAGGGCCATTTGGAAAGGGTCTCAGAATAATACATGTGAAAACAGCCCTCTAAGCTTGTGTTAGAGTAACAAATACTTTTGTCTGTGAGTTTATACGTACCTCAATCATGTTGGTTTAGAGGGCCTTTTTTTTTTTTTTTTTTTTTTTGGTGTCCTTCCTGCCCTCTGGCTTTTGAACTCTTTCTACCTTCTCTTCCACGGGTTTCCTGAGTCCTTCCCTGAGGAAAGAAGTTTGATGGAGAAATCCCTGTTCTGATGTCTTTCACTCTCTGTATGTCTGGCTATGGCTTTAGTTTTTGTTGTTTTGTGTTTGTTTTGTTTTATTTGTTCAGAACAGTAGCATTTGGTTTTATCCTAGATCCCTGAGCTAAATAGTCTCAGGTTCTTGGTCACCCAAGCAATGTTGGGTGTGGATTTCATCTCATGAAGTGTGTCTTAAGTTAAATCAGGTATTGATTGGTTATTCCCATAAGCTTTATGTCACTTTTGTGTTAGCATAGCTCACAAGCAAGACACCATTGTAGATCAAAGGGTTTATGACTGGGTTGGTATAGACAGAAGTTTTAGTCACGCTTCGTCCCACAGCCCTTCGGTCCCAAGTAAACACACAGAGGCTTATGTTAATTATAAACTGTTTGGCCAATTGCTCAGGTTTATTACTAACTAGCTCTTACAACTTAAATTAACCCATAATTCTTATTTATGTTTAGCAACAGTAAGGCATTTTTATCTTGCTTCCTCTGCATCTGGCTGGTGACTGGGTCTCTGCCTTTCCTCTTCCCAGAATTCTCCTAGTTTGGTTCCTTGCCTATACTTCTTGCCTGACTACTGACCAATCAGCATTTTATTAAACCAATACAAGTGACAAACCTTTACAGTGTGCAAGAGCATTGTCCCACAGCAGGTTGGTGTTTACGTTTTTCCTCTGGTAGCATGCAGAGAACCTTCCTGTGCCAAAGACACTAGTATGTAGGGGTGAAAGTTTTACATAAGCACCAGCTCGACTTCTCCATGTTCAATGAGTTGTATAGGTATTGTCTTCAGCAATAGGACTTTACCATCAGTTGTGGTAAGCAACCTATGGTCTTGACAACAGCCTGGGTTGTTTGGGGGCTCCAATGGGACCCTTTTGGCCATCAATTCAATTAGATGTAACCCAGTGTTGGTACTGGAACCTTCATTTGGTGACAGGAGATGTCCAGTTGGGGCTCTGTCTCCCTCATTATTTCATGATTTTATATAAATAACCTTAATACACACACACACACACACACACACACACATTAGGAAGTGTCTACTGTATTAGGTTTCCATATTACCCCTTAAATGTCCCTTAATTTTAGCTGTATCTCCCCATATTCCCTACCTTGTTTCCCCTCTTCCTTTTCCTTTCCCTCTTGATCCTCTCAGTTCTATCTCTCCATCTATCCATATCTATTTCCCATTCCTAGGTCTATCTATTCCACTTAGTTCCATACTCTATACATAACCTTTGTGTTTATATGGATTATAGTTTGGTTATCATTGACTTAATATCCATATATAAGCAAATACATACCATATTTACCTTTCTGTGTCTGGATTACCTCACTCGGGATGATTTTTTTTTTTTGTTCCACCCATTTACCTGCAATTTTTATGATTTCATTTTGTTTTCTTTTTTATATAATTTGTTTCAGTTTTATTTCATGTACATTGGTGTTTTGCCTGCATACATGCCTGTGTGAGGGCATCAGGTCTGGAGTTACAGTTATAAGCTCCCATGTAGGTGCTGGGAATTGGGCAGTCAGTGCTTTTAATTGCCAAACTGTCTCTCCAGTCCCTCATTTTGTTTTCTAACAGCTGAGTATACACCATTGTATACATGTACCACATTTTTTTTTTTATCTCTTCTTCTGTTGAGGGACATCTAGGTTGTTTCCAGTTTCTGGCTGTTACAAATAAAGCCCAAGAGAAGTAGAGCTGGATCTTGCTGTAGATGGATTCCCATCTTCCTGAGGAACCAGAGTTCCACAGAGTTTGTAGCAGTTCACACTTCCACAGGCAATTAATGAGTTTAATGATGCAAAGATGTGCTGCATTCTTTTGTGTTGCATTTGGCTAACTCTGTGAAGCTGAGTTACTTTACCTACCTAAAACACCTGATTGGTTAAATAAAGAGCTGAAGGGCCAATAACTAGGCAGGAGAAAGGGCAGGCAGGGCAGGCAGGCAGAGAGAATAAATAAAAGAAGAATTGTTGGAAGAGAGTGTTGAGAAATGGGAAAGAAAGGAGAGAGGACATCAGGGGTCAGTCACCCAGCTACACAGCAAGCCACAGAGGAAGAAGTAAAGAAAAGTATATAGAATAGAAAAAGGTAAAAGTCTAGAGGCATAAGAATAATTTAAGAAAAGCTGGCTATAAGTGAGAAAAGCAGGAAGAATAAGTTTCCATGTGATTATTTGGGAGGTGGGTGGTGGCACCCATCTAAAGAGCAAAGAGAAAAAACAAACAAACAAACAAAAAAACCAACCAACAAATAAAAAACAGCTATAAACCTACTCTTGTTTCTTTGGTCATTTTTATTATTTTTATTTTTGTTTCTATTTTATTGATTTTAGTCTTGAATTTGATTATTTCTTGCTGTCTACACTTTTAAGTGTGATCTTTTTCTTTTTCTTCTAGAGCATTCAGGTGTGCTGTATAAGTTGCTAGTTAAGTAAGATCTCTCCAATTTTTGAAATGTAGGTTCTTAGTGCTGTGAGTTTGCATCATAGACCAGCCTTCATTTTGTCCCATAAATGCAGGTACATTGCATATTCATTTTCATTCAGTTCTAGAAAGTCTTTAATTTCTGTCTTGGCCCCTTTCTTTTGTTGTTGCTGAGTAGAGAGTTTTTTAGTTTCCATGAGTTTGTAAGTTTTCCATTGTTTCTGTTGTTGATATTGAGTTTTACTATGTGGTGGTCAGCTAGGATGCAGGATATTTCAATTTCCTTGTATCTGTTGAGACTTCCTTTGTGTCCGAGTGTGTGATCAGCTTTGGAGAAAGTTCCATGAGGTTCTGAGAAGAAGGTATGTTCTTTTGTGTTTAGGTGAAATGATCTTTAAATATGTTAGAGCCATTTGATTTATAACCTCAGTGAGCACCAACATTTTGCTGTTTAGCTTTTGTCTGGATGACCTGTCTATTGGCAAGAGCTGGGTAGTGAAGTCTCCCACGGCCAGTGTGTGGGGGTCAATATGTGATCTAAGCTGTTGAAGTGTTTCTTTTACAAACTTCAGTTCCCTTGCGCCTGGTGCACAGATGTAAAGAATTGCCATGTCCCCTTGGTAGATTTTTCCTTTGATGAGTATGGAGTGGCCTTCCCATTCTCTTCTGATCACTTTTGGTTTGAAGTCTATTTTGTCAGATATTAAAATGGCATCACCAGCTTGTTTCATTCATTTGCTTGTAATATCTTTTCCCAACCCTTTACCCTGAGTGCCGTCTAGCCTTGATGTTAAGGTGTGTTTCTTGGATGCAGCAGAAGGATGGATCCTGGTTTTGTATTCATTCTGTTAGTCTGTATCTTTTTTTTGGGGGGGGGGGGGATTGAGACCTTTGATATTGGGAGATACCCATGAACTGTGTTTGCTGATTCCTGTTATTTTGTTGTTGTAGTGGTGTGTGTGTGTGTGTGTGTGTGTGTGTGTGTGTATTTCTCCTCTTTTGATTTGCTGGTATGGGATTATTTATTCCTTATGTTTCCTCGGGTGTGGCTACCTCTTTTGGTTGGAGTTTTCCTTGAAGTACCTTCTGAAGAACTGGATACTGCTTACCTTTGGTTTTATCGTGCAATGTCCTACTTTCTCCATCTATTGTGATTGACAGTTTTGCTGGTTATAGTAGTCTGGGCTGGTATCTGTGGTCTCGTAGCATCTGTAGAACATCTATCCAGGACTTTCTGTCTTTCAGAGTCTGCTTATTATGCTTATTATGCTTTCATAGATTTCTTTTTTTTTTTTTTTTTTTTTTTTTTTTGGTTTTTCGAGACAGGGTTTCCCTGTGGTTTTGGAGCCTGTCCTGGAACTAGCTCTTGTAGACCAGGCTGGTCTCGAACTCCCAGAGATCCGCCTGCCTCTGCCTCCTGAGTGCTGGGATTAAAGGCGTGCGCCACCACCGCCCGGCTTGCTTTCATAGATTTCTTTACGGGATTTATTCATTTCCTCTTTAAGGTCTGTCATAGTTTGAGTGTAATTGGCCCCCATAATCTCTAGGGAGCGGCACTACTGGGAATTGTGGCTTTGCTGGAGTGGGTGTGGCCTTCTTGGAGGACGCGTGGGGCTGTGGGTGCAGACTCAGATTTCCTACGCTCAGGATACCGCCTAGTGTTTCAGTTAACTTTCTGTTGCCTGCAAGATGCAGGATTCTCAGCTCTTCCAGCACTAAGAAGTCTGCCCACATGCCGCCATGCTCCCACCCTCTGGAACTGTAAGAGAGCCTCCCCAATTCAATGTTTTCTTTGTAAGAGTTGCTGTGGTCATGATGTCCCGTCACAGCAATAACAAATCCTCACTCAGGTAAGGACCACTATTATATTCATAAAGGCTGTTTTATGGTCTTTGTTTTGTGCGTCAAATATGTTGCAATACTCAGGGCCTGCTGTGGTACGTTGCTGGGCTTTCGCGGAAGCATATTGTCTTGACTGTTATTGACTGTGTTTTCACACTGGTGTCTAGGCATCTGGATTTGGAAACATAATGGTCAGTGCTGGTATCTGGTCTTGTCTTTGTTGGGTGGGTGTTTTGTTTCTTGTTTTCTATTGCCCTCTCTGCTTCTTAGGAGAGTGTTGTAGCTGTGTGTTGCCTGGTAGAGAATTATTTTAGGATCCCGATAGGTGTACTCACTGGGGTCCTGGGTATTATTGGGGGCTGACAGAAGGGTCTGAGGGAGTCCATAGAAGGGGGTAATCAGGGTATTCCACCAGGATCTTCTTAACCCCCTGGGAATGGGGGCAGAGAGTGAGAAAAAGTCTGGTATAGAGCTGGATATGGGACTGGGAATTGGATTTGGAGGAGAGACGGAGAGGGAAGATCTGAGGCTTGCCTACCTGCTTTGCTGGCCTACTTGCTCCCCTGTCAGGCAAGTTGGAGGAGAAGAACTTTAGGATCTGCCAGAGACAGAGACAGAGGGGCAGGTGGGCAGAGGCCACCCCGGGGGGTCTGACACACAGATGGGGGTGAGGTTGGGGGATCCGAATTGAAGCAGAGGAAGGCAAGGTGAGAGTCTGCGGTGAGGCTACCACTTCTCTGGCCAGAGAGGCCTGCAGGTTCCCGGGGAAGGCCTGCTGAGGTTGGGGGCGGGGATAAAATGGTGAGCAGGTTGAAGGATGGTTAGCACATTTCCTGGCGATCCGATCCGTTGGAGATGGGGACAGAGAGGAAGTGGAGACCGAGGAGGTGGCTTGTTAGAGGAGGCGGGGATTGGCCTCTGAGGAGCGGAGGGAGAGGTGAAGATCTGCAGTTAGCACACCTCTTTCTCTCCGTAGTTGATTTTTTGGTTTTTCAAGACAGGGTTTCCATTGCGCTCTGGCTGTCCTGGAACTCACTTTGTAGACCAGGCTGGCCTTGAACTCACAGAAATCTGTCTGCCTCTGCCTCCCAAGTGCTGGGAATACAAGAGTGTGCCATCATCCCCCTCCCCCCCATAGCCATTTCTTAACCAAAACTGTTAATTAAAGCAGAAAGAGAGGGGGACGCAGTCTGCTGAGAAACAGTTTTACTTGGCAGAGGGAGTCACAGCTTTTGGGTGATGGTTTTATTTGTGAATGCTAAAGACGTTCGTAACTGGAAGTTGTCTTGTGAACACAAGCCTGACGTTTTCCCAGGAAGGATCCTGGTTGGCCCATTCTGTACTGCGGTGCAGTGATGGCTCAGCAGCTACTGGAACTTTGAAGTGCTGGGTGTCAAGGATCCCTTGGCGTCACTGCAGCAACCGGTCTGTCTACTCTGTGAACGTCAGTGATTTCTCTTGGTGCCAAGGTCACAGGTGCTATGATACTGGGGTGGTTTGTTGTCCATATTTCTGGTGGAAGGAGTTACTAAGTTTCAGTTGGAGGTTGGTGAGAATCGGCTTTTTCAGAAACCTGTGGGGCAGAAGGTGATGTTTGTTTTGGTCAAGGCCAGGACTTTTTGAAGTTTTCTGCTTCCAACCCCTTACCCTGGGAAATGTTTGTGTGACCTTGGGCTTATAAATACATAAAATAGGTTTGCAAATAAAACATGAATTGTTAGTAAGCCATATGGAAACATTTTAAAACAATTCTTTGCTATCACATAATTTACTATTTATGAGAGATGAAAGAAAATCTGTATACTAAAGAGATGATATACTTTGCTTGTTTTTTGGTAGAGAAGTAAGTCTTGGCTGAATATTTGTTACTGTAGGATGCTGAATGCCTTCTGTATATTCCAGAGTTGATCTGTATTTTGATTTTAAAATCATCAATGCCAAGGAAGCCACTTCAAATATATATAAAGTACAGAATGACAAAACTGTGTTTAGAGCCATTTCAGAAATTGCTGGAAAGTCTGTGTTAATCCTGAGTAAAATTAATTCAATGCTTTAAATTTTTTTTTGTTTGTTTTACAAAACTTAAGTCAGGTACTCAAATGTCAACATTTAAAATTAAACGGTCTCCCACAATCCAATCAAAGATACTGAAGATCCACAAACCGAGGCTTGAAAGCGGGAAATGGTAAAAGTCTTTGTTTTCTGTAATTGACCCGCTGCGTTTTTATAAGGGCAGACCGCTTTGTGTGTTCGGGGAAATGGGCTTCTCAGTGTGCAGTAGTTTGGAATCGGAGCTGAGGTGTTTCAGGCAGGGTTTGCTAGCATAGTGTGTGGATGCAGCATGGGCCATGCACAGCAAACCCTCGAGTTGTGTGTTTGGAACCCAGGTGGCTATGAAGAGGTAACAGGGCCAAGTGCTACCAGAAACACCGTGGATTCATTGCAAGTTTGAGATGGAGTCCATTTTTGGTTGTTGCAGGCTCAGAAATGTTTCACTGTTGCCATTTTTTTTTCCAACTTCAATTATGTGACCCCCATTCAAGAGGCAGGGATCTAGGTTGACCTATTCTCTCACTTTTCTGCACGGCCCACTACATCCCCATCGGATGTGTGTACTTGTTCTGGTCCAAATCGCCATCCACTCTGTAACCAGCATGTCAGCATCTGCAGAATGTACGTTTCCTGTCGCCCACCCTGCTAGTCGCTCGCTCCTCAGCTGTCTGCCACGGCTGTTAGCATAGAGACCAAAGGCCTGGGTCTCAGCCGCGTGGGCGCCTTCTTGTGTTGTGACCTCCCCCTTCTTCACCGGGCTTTTGCATGTTTGCATGTGTGCTCTCTTCACCATCTTCACGGGCTATTTGGGAAGTCTTCCAGGTCCTTTCCGATCAGGGCCACTCCTCAGAAGTGCGGTTGTGCTACTTTGTGTCATTCATTGGTTGAGTAAAGTCTGTCAACTCAATAGCTGAAGCATCCAGAAGGAAGGGTTCCATGCCACACGCAGGACAGCGCTTGACAGAGAGTAAAGGCTCGTTAAATATTTGAGTGAAGAAACAAACTAGTTACTAATCCTAACAGGCATTTTAGGAACAGAAAGTCCTCTGATGGAGTAGGAGTTAGGAGAAAGATTGTTAGAGGCTGGGAGGTTAATCTGGGTTGTCAATGTTACTGGATTGGGGACCGGGTAGAAAACGGGTAAACCGTGTTCCTACATAGATCAGAGAGGAGGTTTCCTGAGACAATTGGAATGTAGGTAGGTGAGCTGAGCAGAGAAGACCTACCCTGAACGGGGTGGAACCGTCTAGCAGTCTGGGGATCTGGCGGAAGGACAGCCGAGAAGAAGGGGGTCCAGAGTGCAGGCCTGCTCCCGTTGCACGGCACCGCATGGCACTCTGCGTTCTCCAGCCTTTGAAAAGCACCGCACCAGCGCCTCACAGGGTCGCCCACACCTTCGGCCTCCAACTGAGGCTGTATCTTTGTTTTTTTCTTGTTCTGGGGCTTCTGGCTTTTCCCACTGAGTAGTTCCTGGCTTTCCTGGCTCCCCTCCAGCCTACAGACAGCCACTGTGGTACACCCTCAGCTTCTGAATATGTGAGCCAACCTGGTAACCCCATCTTATTTGGTGGATGCTATTGGTTCTGTTCCTCTGCAGAATCCTGACTCACATATGACAGCAGGGCCAGCGATCGGCCTTCCTTTAGGGCAGAGGCTAAGCAAATCAGGAAGTAGGAAAAAGGGTTTACCCTGAATTGATGTCTTTTAGTGTAACAGCAAAAGGGAACTCTTCCGGCATTAAAGAGCCCCAAGAACACCGCTGTGTTGCATGAGAGAGTGACTTACATGACTAAGGTCATCTCCAAATATGAAGAAAAGGTTAAGCTACATTACTGATAGTCACATACTTAAAAGCTATAAAAAATGACTTGAAAAGGGTATTTGGAAAATAAATATTTAAGTTCTTATCATGATACTGTACATGTGCTTATGTGTATACATATGCTTATTTCCTGGAAATACATTATTTGATGTCAACATGTAGATATTTGTCATTATATTTAAAGCGTCCTTTTAACAATATAGCTGGGAGGGCTGGAGAGATGGCTCAGAGGTTAAGAGCATTGCCTGCTCTTCCAAAGGTCCTGAGTTCAATTCCCGGCAACCACATGGTGGCTCACAACCATCTGTAATGAGGTCTGGTGCCCTCTTCTGGCCTGCAGACATACACACAGACAGAATATTGTATACATAACAAATAAATAAAAAAATATTTAAAAAAATTAAAAAAAAAAACAAAATAATATAGCTGGGAGATGAAATTTTCCATGGGGTGATGATATCGGGAAAGAATGATATTAATCAGGCCACATTATGGGTAATTTCCTCCTGACTAGTTCTTCTGTTCTGTGATGAGGTCTGCTCAGCACCGTGGTGGTGATTCCCACCTCCAGCCAGAGCGATGCAGATGTAGCCTCCCGGGGAGAAGGCAATTGCAAGGCTGGGTGGTAGAGGTCCAACCTCCATAGCTAAGAAATGCCCCACTGTCATACTGGCTTGGGTAACATTGTGGTGAGCACCTGTCACATTCAGGGCTTAGCAGCAGACGCCAGGTGGAAGTCAAGCCATCACCGCGGCGACAGCATCCGTCCTCCTGTCCTCCGTAAATAAATAATTACTAACACTAGACTGTTATATGAGGACTCTTTTTGGGGGGTGGGGGGGAATCTATAGTTATTAGTGCTGGGTTGGCACAAAATAGAGTGCCTTTTCCCTGATCCCTATAGGAAAAACTGAGTCACTGAGCAGCTGTTCTACGCTTCAAATATGAGGCAAAGCTTGGAGCATTAATTCCCAAGAAACTGTTGCCACGTGATATTCCAGGTTTGCGAGCACCCCAGAACCTTGTCCAGGGCTTAGACTGAGCACCAAGTTAGCTGGTTGGTTTCTTTCCGCCTTGGCTGAGTTTCAGCCTCTTAAAGCCAAAGCACACAAAAACCCTCCCTTGCATGGGTCC